ACTCTTAACAAAACCATGCCATTAAAATAATAACCACACGCCTCTTACCTGATCCAATTCTACTCATATTTCACGGCCACTCTGCATCCGGTCTGAAACTTGGACCACAACATCGGCCAATTGCACTCCCGACGTCGGCCTCTTGGTTGCACGAGTAGAAGGGAAGCGGTGCTGATGCTGCCTGATTGGGTACACATGAGGAGAGAGATCGGCTCGGAATTTTTGGTGGGGAAGGGAAAGAAGAATCAGGTCATGGGGTTTTCTTTGGGGAACCGAGAGATAAAGCAGTTGCTCGGCTGAGGCTAGCTTAGGTTTAGAGGGTTTTTTTATATAATAGTAATAATAATAATAATAATGGTAAAAATAGTTGTTATTATTATTATTATTCCTATTCCCCGGTTGCAACTCTCCGTAGATACTCGTTAAACTAACCGTTCACGTATTATGGTCGAACCGAAACCCAAAGGTCGGGGTGTTACATTAGTGGTCTCTATGGTAGAGAGAAGTGGACATCGGCGATTGCATGTCGCACAATGAAATGTATGAGTGTGACTGTGTGAGCGGGAAGGGCAAGGAAGGAACGATTGTAGCGCTGAAACCGATTGGTTTTTTTAAGGTTCATTTAGATTGCAAATGGGCCAAGTCTAGAGGAAGAATACAAATACAAACATTCAGCACCGGAGGGATCAAAAGCCCAAAGACCCAAAAACGGTTTGGAAACCCAATAGGCCCTAGCCAAAAGCCCAATCCGAGCCCATATCACAAACCTTAGCAGCACAGTGTTTGCCCATAGTCATCTCATCGCCGCTAGCAACTGCTAGCAAACCTTCCTACCACCAACCAGAAACCATGTGATGGTTGCCACACAAACACCAAAAAGGTCGGTCGGAGAAAAACCACCCCGGACAGAGGTCAGAGGGAGAATTAAGACCCTTCTCTAGCCAAAGCCTCGTTGGGCCAAACTCCAAAGCTCCCCAACACAAAAATGAGCGAGACACTTCCGGTCGAAAGGGCGGCCAGTGATGAAACCATGGAGGTGAACTTCATTCTTCAGGATCTTCTATCTAAGTCTAAGTTGCGCGCCACATCTCAGAAACGCCAAGACCTGCAAGGTGAAGTAAGGAGGTAGACGAAGGGAGAGAAGAGGAGAAGACAAGTCAAAATCAAAGAAGATTCGACCTCCTTTTGCATCTAAGATCAAAACATCTCTATTTCTGATAGATCATATCAGAGGGAAAAAGCACATCCCCAACAGGGGGAGGAAGGAGACCCACAAAGGGAGAAGAAGAAAACCACTCAATGGCTGGAAACATGCACCAAAAAGGAGAGAAGAAAAACATAGGGGGAAAAGGACGAAACCAGACGAAAAAGAAGGGAAAACGGGGAGACTTGGAAACGATGGGCAGATGGAGAAAAGAAAGAAAGCAGGGGAAGGCAGATAGGTTGCCGCCGAAAGCGATCGCTTCTCCCTTTCGCTAACTTTCTTTCTTTCCGCAAACTAATTTCGATAAAGTTTTGTAACTTTCACAACACTTTTTGGATGAAATCCCTCAAATACAACCAGGGGTGGATCCTGGTTTTAAAGTTCGGGGAGCCGAAAAAAAATTAGTACGTATTATCGTAAAAAATAATCATATAAATGTCACATTACAAATTATTACTTAAGACAATTACTAGCACTAAAATTATGATTTAAATTAAAAATTTAGCAATGACATGTTCAACATTTTTAAGTAAATTGTCAACAAAAAATAATCATCATTTTTTATATTTTTTTCGTTGAATCAGTTGCTCTTATTGCTCAAGTAAGGAAACCGATACAACGAGATAGGATTCGATAGATCCTATGCAATACAACTAACTGCTATTAACTTCCTACTACTCTTTCCCTGGTTCTACTTACAGTAAAAGAAAGAATAAAACTCTGTGGCGTCTATAAGTAACCCAGCTTTTCCAGTTCATTTTTTTTTTGTACCACGTTCTTCGATGTTATTATAAATAACAAATGAATGTCTCTCAATTTACTTAGTTTGAAGTTTTAAGTGTGTAAAAAGACAAAGCATTAATGTTAAGTGACTACACTTTGATTTTTTTAGCAAAAATACCACGTTCTTCGATGTTATTATAAATAACAAATGAATGTCTCTCAATTTACCTAGTTTGAAGTTTGAAGTGTGTAAAAAGACAAAGCATTAATGTTAAGTGACTACAATTGATTTTTTTAGCAAAAATTAATCAAGAAAAAAAACTGTCAAATGTGTCGCTGATGGGTATTGAACCCATGTCCACCAAGATAAAAGCTACCCACTTAGTCACTAGACTACATGCAACAACTCCTACATTAAGTTGCGTAATGTCGTTATTTATATAAACAAGTTAATTCATACGTAATTTTAAAATTCTCGTTGTACTTATGCGTGATTTTCAACAATTTCGGGAGGTACCCCGAGCCCCAACGTAGCTCCATCCCTGAATACCACTAGAGTATGAGAATTGGAGTAAGGTATTACTAAAGTAAAAATAAGGAATTACATAGTATGAAAGTCCATAAATTGTGTTTTTGTTAAATTTTTTTATTTGATTAACGATCAAAGAAAATAAAATTCTGAATGGCTAAACATCGCCCTTGTTTTACTATTATCACCCTAACTTAAAGCGTACAATTACTAAAGTGTCCTTAATTAAATAAACTAAATTCAACATAACAATTACCCCTAAAATCCCTAATCCTTCCTCACCACTGTCGACCTCTCCAAAAACCTTCACCGTTCCTTCTCCCCTGCTATTCATGGAAGCCCGCTATCTCACGTTACCAGCCACCATCATCAACCATTCAACCCCTCATGAAAGCAGCCGCCGGCGATAACATTAGGCTGCGTCGATAACTTCTACCGAAACGTCGAGGGTCTGAAAAATATGACTCTCATGTTTCTTTCCTTCATCGAGAAGTGGTGGATGGCAGCCAGAAGGGTCTGGTCGGCGGTGGTGGATCTTATTATTTTATAATTCCCAACAACCTCCTTAACTCCTTATTAACCCTTTCAAAATTGGCCGGTGGCGGCGACGGTGGAATAAAGATAGTGAGAGTTTTTTTATGTAATGTGTTGAATAAAATATTTTTTTAATAAAAATACAAAGGATAAAAGTGGAATAATAACTTATAAATTAGGACGATCACATAAATCCAGGGCGACAATTAGCAACTCCCATAAAATTTGGCATGTCAATGTTAACTGTAAGCCAAATAAAAAGGAAAAGATTACCACATCACTTTTTTTCTTTACCTTCTTTCGCCTAATTATACCCCAAAATTAAAAGAGAAAAACTTAAGCTCTCCAAAGAAAAAAATTTAAACTGTTAATCATTAGAGAAATCATCAACAGCGTATATTCACCTTCGAACTCTCTTACCCATCTTCTCTTGCAAAATAAGTACAACTTTTTATGTTCCAATTTCCCTCTAAAAATACACCATCGTCATCACTATTATCCAATTATCCCATAAATAAAACTGAAAAAATAAAAAGGAAGAGCCAGATCATTATTGCAATTGCCCAACAGATTGATTGATTTTCCTCTCTCTCTATGTAGATTGTTTGGTCTGGCCTTGTAACGACACAATCAATGCATCATAGGCATGTTCATGCCAAACACAATAAGCCAGAAGGAATCATACCATATCCTAAATTATTTTGCTGAAATGGAATCAACGAAGAAGAATCAAGCCCGTATTGCGCGCCACCGAACACTGAACATTCCTTCTTAGACGAGTTCCGAGTTGCCTCGCTAACACTAGTTTCCCAATTCGGATCTCCATCATAGTTGACAAAGTGGGTCAATCCTCCATATGTAGGGTTTATGCGAGGGAATAGGAATTGGCAGAGAGGGTTTAGGAGGAAGTTCAACGATGGGGTTTGGATATTTTTGTTGGAGTGTTGAATTCTTTTAATTTTTGAGGCATGATTAACCAAGGAATGGAAGAGTGATGTGCAAACTTTGGGTAAATTGCAAGTTTGGTCACTGAAAGTGCTATATTCATGTTTGGCCAGTAAAAGAATTTTATTTCATTCATGGTCACTGAAAGTGGTTAACGTTTCACGATTGGTCACTCTCCGTTAGTTTTCATTAAGACCGTTAGTGGTTTGCTAACGTGGCAACTAGAAATGTTGATTCATCCAATTTTGACCTGCCACATCATGAAACCGGATATGCCACGTGAGTTTTACCCGTCATGTCAGATTACGCAACCCAACCCATCACCCAACCCTCCTTATTGACCCGCCCGACCTAAAACTCAATTGGCCCAAATGAAACCCCATTCTAACCCACCCTCTTAATCCCTTCTTCTTGGCCGCCATCGACCTCTAATCCCCGTCGTCACCATCAACCATCGTAAAGGTATTCAACAACACCATCGCCAACCCATCTCTACTAGGCCTTCAAGAGTAGCAGCCCGATGTGTATCCCGCTCAACGTCACCAAAGGGGGGAACTATACAGCTGTAAATGTTTAGTTTTGTAGCATTGAAGATCTAGAAACCCAGTCGACGGTGACCAAAAGGAAGGGAAGAAGGAGCTTCAATCTTCCGATTCCAAATCCCAGTCGAGGGGAGCATCCAGCTTTGATTGCCGATGCTTCTGGTGACCAGCTCTTCCTCAAAGTCGATCACCCTTGCCTCCTCTCACCTTTACTCTCAAACCCAGGTACTCCCAAACCCAGAACATGGCGGAACCCCAAACTGAGGCACACCCAAACGCGGCGGTGTTGCTGCTTCTATTCGGTAACACAGATCGTCAACGAACATATCGAAGATGGAATCCGGCGCCCAGATTTGTGGCCGGTGAAGACAGAGGCTGGCCACCACCCTTGGATTCGGGCCCCGATTGTCTCTAGAGTTAATTTCGCTCACCGAGTCTGAAATCGACGGGGCAAAGAGGCAATTCTGACATATCTAGCTTGATCAGAGAAGGCGGCGGGATATTCTTGAAGGACCAATCGACATCAGCGTAGTGTGGGACTGAGTGCGGAGGTGAAGTTGTCGATGGTTGGGGAGACGGAGACTATGGCAAGAACACTTTCTAAGATAGATAGATGACGATTTCCCCTTGCCTTGGGGGTCCCGTCTTGAGAAGATGAAGAGAAGCACCGGAGGGAGGTCTGGCGACGGCGAGGAAGATTTGTTGGGAAGGATGCTTGGGTGACGGAGGGCGGCATGCGACGGTGAGGAGGCGCGACGCAAATAGAGAAAGAAGAAGAGGGGAAAGGTTGAGAAGAGATGGGGGAGATTGAGGGATGTGGAGAGGTTTGGGCTCCTTCAATTTTTTGTGGTTGGGTCACGGGTTGAATTGGGTTGAGTTATGCTCTGGCAGTGTGTTGGGTATTATGATGTGGCAGGTCAAGTTTTATGACGTGGGAGGTCAAAATTGGATGAATCGGCATTTTTGATTGCCACATCAGCAAACCACTAACGGTGTTAGTGAAAACTAACGGAGAGTGACCAATCGTAAACGGTTAACCACTTTCAGTGACAACGAATGGAATAAAATTATTTTAGTGACCAAACATGAATTTGTTAGCACTTTCAGTGACAAACCTTGCAATTTACCTAAAGTTTGCACATCACTCTTTCATTCTTTGGTTAATCATGCCTCAAAAATTAAAAGAATTCTTTTAGGTAGCCATGTGAGATTTGAGCGTGCTCGTTTCTTTCTTGTGCAATAGATCCCTCTTCCATGATGAGTAGCATTCACGTTGTCACTAATTAGGATGATGGAGGCATAGGCAATGTAGTCAAAAGCGCGATTCTATCTAGAAGCGGAAAAGGGGTAAAATCGTAAAGCGTAGAATCAAAGCGTAAAAGCGTAAGTTTTTTACGCATACTGAAAAATAACTAAAAATGTATTAAGTAGGACATATGCTATGCAAAATATGAATGCACAGAATTTAGATAAGTCAATAAATACATGCGATTCATGCCTAAAGTAGAAAAACTTATAGCATCTTAATAATAAGTTTGTAAACATAAATTTTAACAATAAGCCACTTTTCCGACCATGCTAATGAATTTGGGAAAAGCCTAATGGGTGAATTAGATTACTCTATCGAAGTTGAGAATGCATCCAAGTACCTTATATGTATCTTTTAATCTCAAATGTATCATATTGTTGGTGATTTACTTTTAAAATATACTTTTCATAATTAATTTCATGAAAAGAATACTCATTTAGTGAACTAAAAGCGTAAAAACGTAAAGCATTTTGGAGAACTAGAAGCGTAAAACCGTAAGCTTTTAAGCTTATTAGCTTTAAAGCGCAAATTAGTCCGATTTTATACACTTAAGTTTTTATATGGAAACGAAAGCGTTTTGGTGACCTAAAAGCGTAAAATCGTAAGTTTTTTAAGTTTTAAAGCGCGATTTTGACTGCATTGGGCATAGGATTATCCCACAACCAAATTGAATGTCTTGGTGTGTCATACCCCCTAGTCAGCCCCTTTGAGCCGTCTAACTTTCTTTCTTTCGATCTACAATGAAAAATCACCCTTATGCATCTCTTATAGGTTCCACGGAGTGGTTTTTGCTGCAAATTAGATGAGGGTTGGAGGTAGTTCATAAAATTGGGCATGTGCTTGCAAGGATAAAATATGTGAAAAAGGGGTGGTTCTCTCAAGAAAAGAAAAAAGAAAAGGAAAAAATGGAAACAAAAGAGAGCCATCACAAAAATCTGAATCATGTCCATTAAATAGTGTTTCTTAGCATCTTGGCTTAGAAATACTAACATGTTGTGACCTCATTCACTCTTGTGCTCTAAAGAACTTAATTAATGCAAAATAGCAGAGAGAAAGTAAATGGTTTGAATGAATGTTGTTGTGTTTGGTTTTGGAACCGTGGAACCTTGTGTATGAATTCTTCCACCACTTAAAAGGCCTTTTCCCCATGTCCAAGACTCTAGCCAGTCATCTGAACCCGTGTCTAAGACCTCCTGACTATTTAATGGTGACACCCGAAATGTGAACTCTAGCATTTAGAGGCTACCATCATGGTGAAGAGACGTTAGGATTGAGAGAATAAGCATAAGCATTTTTTGCATCAAATTGTCCTGACCCCACCGGTCGAGAGTGGGCGATTCATTTCCTTATATTCCTTATCCCAGTGAGGACCTTGATTGCTCAGTCTTTGATTATGGTGACTTGAACTCTATGCATGGTTGACTGTGGTGTGTGAGTAGACGAGTTGTGTCACGCTTTGGTTTGTGAGCATTCGTTAGACTCTTCCTTTGAATAATCTTGCTACGATCGGATGTCATCTACATGGTCATTAAGGTTGTCGTTGCTGTCGTGCATGTGTTGGTACTAGCTATCTGTTGAAATCCGTCTGTTTTGTGCCATATGTCATGTCCCCTAAAGTGTTTTGATTGAAAATTGTGCTAAGCTTACTTGGTGTCTGACTTGGTTTGCTTGGGGACAAGCAAACAGTTAAGTGTGGGGGAATTTGATAACGTTGTATTTGCACATGTTTGCACCCTCGTTTCTTATCCGTTTTGGCTCATAGTCGTGCATCTTTGGCCTATTTTACGCTGGGTTTGCGTTCTTTTGTCACATTTCAGGTTCCAGACGTCAAAGGAAGGTTTAAGCGCAAGTTTGGAGGTCATTCGGTGAAGCTGGAGCAAAATACGGGCAACCTTGCTCAAGAACACGAATGTGGTTCACTAAGGAGCACACTAGTGCTTTTTAGTGCGCATGTCAAGTCGAAGCAAAGGAAGAACATGGGCGTCGGGCTCCCTTGCCCCAAAGCACGACTGTGTACCACACTAGTGTTTTTTATGTCGAGTATTAATTTTTGACTGCTTTTGAAGAACGCAAAACACAGACGCGTCGAAGCACGAACGTGTCCCTCATTGGGCACGATCGTGTTTCCTTGGAGCGGGCATGTATCTCCCGACATCATTTTAAGTTTTCCCACGTGACCTAGAAGAACATGGGTGGGATGAGAAGGACACGACCGTGTCCACGCCCGTGTTTTGTCGGTATCGGGTTAAATTGGCAGTTTCTAAACAAAAGAAGGGGATTTGACTTTTCAGAGCAAAAACAGAGTTCTAGAGAGAGAAAGGGAGAAGAACAAACCCTAGGATCGTTTTTGGAGCTGGGTTTCATCAATCAAGCTTGGATTTCAGCCTTGGAGCGAAGATTATCATCCCATAGCTTATCGTATACAACATTATGAGTATGATTCCTCTGACTGTTGTTTTCTTCTCTCTCTCTATGAAGTAGATCTTTCTCTCACTTGGGTATGAAAAACCCTAGTTCCATGTGTTAGGCATTTGAATTGTAATGACTTTTGGATTGATATACTGATTGGTTTTAATCGATTGAAGTGTGTTTATTGAGTCAATTGAATTCTGATCAACTTCTTTTGATTTATGCTGCAACCTGAGATAGATAGAATCTGATTAGGTCGTTAGAGCTTCTTTAATCGATATGAGTGAATTGATTGTACGAGAGTTAGTCAATTCACTGCAATGTACTGATAATCTGTTTCCTGTAGTGGAGTTCTTGTGAATTGCCTTAGCATTCTATTTCGGTGAAGATTAGTTGTCTGTCGGATAGTCTATCTAAGAGGGCGTGGTCGGCTTAAGAGATTCCAAGCTAATTTCGGATCTTCCACAGTTTAATCTACAGTGAATCAACCAGAGGGAATTACAACTTGAACCTAACTAAGGAGCTAGGGCGACTCAATCCCAAGTGACTCTTCTCTTGCTTCAGAAAACTAGACAATTTACTGCTTTCTTTTTATTTTAGTTTGAATTCACCTTCATTCACTTAGTCCCGCTAGATAATAGAAGCTCACGAAGTAGGCAGTAGATCTAGACCCCGGGTTAATAAATTAAACTCACCCACTATTCTACATTTCCATTCTGCGATTGCACTTGGTCGCAGTTTGTGTTGTGTTTTAGCGAGTCAACGGAGGAGTGGGACATTGTGCCTAAAGGACTGAACTACTGGGAAGAGTTCAATCTTCTACATCAGAAGGTGATAGAGGCAAAATTGAAAGAGATACGTACATGGACTCGACCACTAGAAGGATGGATGAAGATTAATGTGGATGCAGTGATACTAGATGTAGGAGGGACAGGATTGGGGGTAGTCTACAGAAACTCTCAGGGACAATTTGTGATGGTGGCGGTTCGTAGGGAGCCCCGGCCATGGACGCCGGAACTGGAAGAGCTACGGGCGATTGATGGCCCACTTGATGGCCCATCTATCTTGTAATTGGGATTCTCATAAAAAATGGGTTGGTAGGCCACCCATTTGTTTACTTAATTTGTTGATTCAGGAGGCTTTAGCCCATTAATAAAATCCAGGTATTACAATAATAATTAAAAAATTATCTTCTATTGATATTTTTGCAACAAGAAAGTTGAGAACTGACAAATGATTGATAGTAGTAGGCACCAGTTTTTCTTAATGGGAAAGCTTGTGTATATTCCACCAGAGAAAGCAATTACATGGTGTTACACAATGAAGTCTGAGAGGAGGCCTAGGACCGTGATCCAGTCTTGCGGCAACTCATTCCTAGCAAGTGATCATGATACCCAATCCGCTCTAACATTCTATTTGCGAGGGTGGAATTCAACTCTGATGGATGGGAAAAGGGAAAGCTTTCTAGAGATAAGTCCAATCCTGGCAGAGCAGCTCCACGACCAGCTGCTAGATGGGAGCAACAGGGCATTAACATGTGTTAGACAATCCGACTTGATGATGCAGTTTCCATTCATGATCCTTGCTAGGTTCACAGCTTCCAACACTGCTTTAGATTATGCTTCAATGGGAGATGCACACAACAGAGTTCTAATTCTCTCGTCACAAAGATGTCCCTGGTCGCCAAAGCAGATGATGTTGTTGGGCGCCTCTTGGGAGTCGTTAATAAAAAACCCATCATAGTGAATTACGTTGGAGTCATTGCTTGGCAGTGGAACACTTTGATTTCGAGTTGCCCTGAGCTAGAGAGGCAAGAAACTAAGAGGTTGAATAACTTTTTGGAAAGTCATCCACTGGTTGAGCTCTCAAGATGCATTCATGCAAGTTAGGGTTGGCTAGGCGGTGGTGCCTCCGAACACTCTCCCATTCATGGTTTTCCAAATATTCAAGAAGAGGTGGCAAATTAATTTTATCGAATCTTCAGGGATGGAGGAACTAAGGTGAAAGAGCCAGTCGATGATGTTTGTCATGGGAGGCGGCAAAGAGATGTCATTGAAGTAATGTGTCTAGCTATCCTTCACATGAGGGCACTGAAAAAGGTAGTTTTTCAGGGACTCAATATGAATGTTGCAGATGCAAAGGGGGGAGGGAGATAATTTGCGGGTGAAGAATCTTCCCTTTGGCCAGTGCTTCTTTAGCGCATTTCCATAGTAAGAATCTCACCTTCGGCGACAGCGGGAGCTTCCAAAGCCATCTCTATTTGTTCTTGTCAAACTTAGATTTCTGAATGGCTTGGTTGGATGATGCCCTGCTGTGATCGTGGATGGCTCGATAAGTGGACGAGACAGAGAGATCTCCCATAGCACTCGGTTTCCGTGCTAAAAAATAATCCGCTGACTCATGACCATTTGGGATCCGACAAATAGCTTCATGATTCGAGTCCAATTGTACACATTTTACCCTCATTTCTTGATATTTTGGTTTTGCATTTCATCGTCCCTCGACATATTTCACGCTAGGTTGTGATTTTTTTGATACATTGCAGATCCTGACACGTGTGGAAGGGTCGAGGACGAGTTTCGGGTCGATTGGAGGTCGAAAAGCGCAAAAATGTGAAAATTTAGCGATCGTGACAATTGCCCCATGATCGTGAAGCGCGGGCGCCCGGAAAAGCAGCCGCAGTTCACGACCCGAACCTCTGACGCTGAGGCAGTTCACAGTCGTAAGACCGTGAACTGAAGCCATTGACCGTGAACTCAACAAATGAAGCAGCGCGTTTTGGGTTGCCCTAAGCTAGAGGAGTCAAGATTCTTACCTCTCAAGGGAGATTCAAGCAAGGAGGAAGGAAGATTGTCATTTCTTCATGGTTCTTTCTCTCATCTTTCTTGTTTTCCTTTGTCTAGCTATGGATTCGCCCACTTAATCACTTGGGTATTGTGAATCCTAGACTAGATGTTGTTAGGATGTAAGAACTTGAGGTATTAATCATGATTGATTGAGTGTTTTATATAATATTTGAGGTATTAATCATAATTGATTGAGTGTTGCTTGCATTATCTCTTTGTTGTTTCAAAATTAGCCTAGTGGGTGGAAATCCCCTTTTGGCCCATAGGAAGCTTGACCGCCTAGCCACTTGGGTAACCCCTTATAGGTTAACATAGGGCTAAAACCTCAAGTATCGGAGTAGTACCATGATTCTTTCATGATTGGTCTCTCCGTCGGTCGGGTTAGGTTCCGAGGGATTGGTTTGCAATCCTTAGTTGTTCAGTTAAGAGGGTTAGATTTCCAAGCCTATTATAGCAATCCTTGGCCGAAAGGTGAAAAGAGTTATAATACTAACTTATTGCAACAATCCTTAGTTGGCCAACTAAGAGAGTTAGGGGTTTCTTCATTGATCGAACAAGAGAGCTAGGACCCCTAGCTTATTGTTGCAATCCTTAGCCGAGAGGTTAAGAGAGCTTATTGTTTCTTCATTGACAATGAAATACTTGCCATATACTGCACCTGGCTAGAGTTTAAAAAGTTGGGCTCTGGTCGGGATTAATTCGCAGTATAGCTTTGTGCGAGTCACTTCCCTCTCATCATCCGTAGTGAGATTGCAAAATCTGTTCACATCCCAGCTCCTATCACCTGGATCAATCCAATCTGCCACCATTTCTTGGGATTCGTCGTGCATTTGTAGTCGGTTACCATTCCAAGGGATCACCCAAGGGTCTCTGAAGATCCAAGTGGTAGCCCATTCCTAATCACCCTCACTATATCCTCTTTTAGATAACTCTTGGCCTCCCAAATGCTGACCCAAATCCAAGAGGGTCTCCCTCCTTTATGAGCAGAGAGGAAATCATTGCGAGGAAAATAAAGAGCCTTGAGGAGCCTAGCCCAAAGTGCATCACGATGGGCAAGTAGTCTCCAAGCTTGCTTTGAAAGTAAGGCCAGGTTAAACTCCTTGAAAGACCCGAAGCCAATCCCTTAATCTTCCTTGGTGAGCAGAGAACTTGCCCTTTGCACCAGTGAATCGTTTTCTTTTGCATCGATCCAACCCAAAAAATCTGCTCAGGAGCGAGTCCATCTTGTTTGTCATACATTTTGGGAGAATGAAAATGCATATTATGAAAGTAGGGATGGCCTGGAGGACAGCTTTGTAAGGGTTTGTTTCTTCCTGCCGAAAGAAGAAGGCTTTTCCAAGACTCTCCATGACCTTCCATTCGCTGCAGCAAGTATGCAAAAGTCTAATTTTTGGGGTTGCCCCATTCTGTTGGCACTCTGAGATATTTGGAGTAATTGTTGGTTTGATTAAAACCCAACCCTTGGATGATGTCTGATAGGGAAAAAGCGTAATGCTTCAATTCTTAGCTTGTAGTAAAACCGAAAATCCGGGTTTCATCTCTCAGGGACTAGTACAACCTTATTTTTTATCAATTATATGGAGCAAACTATATGTGAAAATGGTTCAATGAGACTAATTTCTAAAACAAAATAAACTAAACTAACTGTTGGGGTAATCATTAAGACGAATGGGCCTCCAGGCCCATGATCGCTGGAGACGATCACGAGGACAATCCTCTTACAAGGATACTACTGGCCCACGATCAAGAAAGACGCTTCAGACGTCGTCCACAAGTGTCACGCATGCCAAGTTCATGCCACCAAACACCACCTTCCAAGTTCTGAACTGCAAAGCGTGGTGGGACCGTGGCCGTTCGCCAGATGGGGCGTTGACCTGTTGGGACCCTTTCCCACGGCTCCATTAGGCAAGAAATACTTGGTAGTGGCGGTGGATTACTTCACCAAGTGGATCGAGGCAGAACTGCTGGAGACGATCACGAGCGCCCGGGTGCAGAAGTTCGTGTTCAACAACATTATGATCCGCTTTGGCATCCCGCAGTCGATCATCACCGATCATGGCACACAGTTTGATTGTCGACCATTCGAGAATTTCTGTGCCAGAAACCGCATCACCTGTACAATGGCCTCCGTGGCATACCCGCAGACGAACGGTCAAGCCAAGGCCACTACCAAGCTGATCCTTCAAGGGCTGAAGAAACGTCTAAAAGACGCTAAAGAGGGATGGACAAGCGAACTCCCGCACGTCCTGTGGGCGCATCGCACAACCTATAAGACCGCCACATGGGAAACCCCGTTTGCTCTGACATACGGTTCCGAGGCGGTCGCACCCAAGGAGCTAAACCTCCCATCCCTCCACGTCCAAACATATGATCCAGAAACAAATCACAAGAAGCTGCTGGAACAACTGGATATGATAGAGTCCAGAAGGGATGCGGCCCTAGAACGCCTTCTGATTGAAAAAGCAAAGGTGGCCGCTTCCTACAACAAGAGGGTGAGGGCGCGACCCCTCGAGGAAGGAGACATGGTTCTCAAGCGGGACTTCCAGAAGAAAGATGAGCATGGAAAGCTGGCCGCCACATGGGAGGGCCCTTTCCTCATCAGAGAAAAGACAGGTCCCAGCACCTTCAGACTTGCGACTATGGAAGGAGACCCAGTCTCCAAGACTTGGAACGGGATGCATCTAAGGAAGTACTACTCTGATGCGGTCTAGAGCACTTTGGGCTAGGACCGAGATGTTTTGGTGGTCTGGGAAATCTCCCGCCACTTGTAATTGTGTGGTACCACGCGACCACTTTTGCTTGCAGATTATCTTGGTGGTTAAGGAACACTCCTTCCACTTGTAACAGCGTATCGGTTGCTCCAACGCAACCCCTTTTGCTCTAAGTAATACACTGATTAGTTTCGGCCATAATTTCTGATAAAGGCACACACAAACGTAGACAAGGGGCATCCCTGAATGCGTAAAGATTGCCTCTGGGCACAACATTAAAATCAAAAATACACAAGGGGCATCCCTCAAAACACGACGAGTAGTTCGTAAAAAAGCGACGCTCACAATCACAAAACAAGAGAAAAAACCGCAACAATGAAGGGCGTTCAACGCCCCACGTGAGGGTCGCAAACACTTAGCAAAATTCAAATACAGAAGTCTGAGAGGAGGTCATAGTTTATCCCTCAATAAGATACCACCAACAGACCGCTCATCAAAAGACAAGCATAACATAAATTAACAAAGAGCATCTCACACGCTGGGCGATCTCTCGCTCCCCTCACCGTCCTCCACTGTGTCCCCTCCTTCTTCCTCTTCACCATCGTCGGCCTCGGAATTCACGTCAGCATCGGTCCAACCGCCAACCGTGTCCCACACTAGATTGGCGTCCCAAACCACATCGGGAGCCTCTTGACGAAATAAATGACGGATGGCGGCCACGACATCGCCAACGATCTTCTGGTACTTTGCTTTATCCAATGCCTGGAACTCGGCCGATGCCACGTAGGCAGGACCGGCCTTGGCACGAGCGGCTGCCAAATCCGCCTCGCAGTTCTCCGTCAAGGCGGTCTTATCCAGTTTGAGAGCAGCCACCTCTTTGCTGAGCGACTCCTGCTGCTCTAACAAGGTCTTCTCAATCTCCTTCGATTGTTGAAGCTTTACTTGTAGCCCATCCCGCTCCTTAATGACCGCCTGGCAAGCCCTCTTCTCTGCCACCAACTCCTCCCTTTGCTTTGACAGCTTCTCCTCGAAACCGCGCTCCAGCTCCGACCGCACCTCTTCCTTCAGCTTAGCACGCTCATCAGTCAGGCTCTTCTTCAACTTAGCAATCTCCACCATTTTCTCGTCCACGGTCTTCGATAGGCGGTCATTCAACATGATGATTTGGGAGAACCCGATTTGAGCCTAAGAGGAATAATCACGATGTTAGCAAACAATGCATAACTTGCCCAAGAAACTAGTCACGGCTCACCCAACAACACTTACCGAGAAGAAAAACTGGGAGGCGATCCCAGCAAGCCTTCGGTTACACCCTCCCGAAGAAGAAGTGTACTCCGAAGGCATGACGAGGCGGTCGCTGACCGTGTGGAAGGCTAGCTCGGCAGCCTTTGTGTCAGTGGCGGCCAAAGGCGACACCTCCACGGAACTTGGCTGTTCAGAAGGACGGGCGGTCTTCCCGCGATGACCTCCCGCCTTGGCTGGGGATGCTCCCGCTCTTGCATGCTTGGTGGCCGCCGCAGGAACATTCGCCTCCAGCGGCCTCTTCCCAGCGGCCCTCGGCACAGGAATGGACGCAGCGGTCGTCTCCACCAGCACACTTGGAGCCGCCATCGAGGTGGTCACAGGGACCGTGTCCCCCACAATAGTGTCCGGTGAAGGTGTGGAACCAGTCCTCACTACCTTCACCGCCTTCTTCTTTGCCTTGGGGCGGTTGGCGGCCGCAAGATCCCGCAATCCTGCAAAAAGGCCGCATAAGTAAAACGACATGAGAAGGAGAAACACATAAACAGTTAGACAAATTCCTACTAACCATAAAAACCACGAACATGCTGGTATGCGCTATCTGGGCCGCTGTGACGCACACGCAGTTGAAAACCCTCGACGATGCGGGTCACATGGTCCTTCACCGACTGGGGAAACTAGTTGGAGGCACACCACGCATCCTAAGAACCAACCGCATAACCGGTGGGCGGTTCCGAATCCCCAGCATACCATTTCCATGAGGGCCGAGCGAAAAAGAATTCCTTATATCAGGGTGAATCTAACTTGGGCGCCCCTTTGATGAACTCGACCGAAGTCTCCCGCCTCCCCATTGACCAATAGTTGGTCAAGTCGCGGATGTTGTAGATCATGCGGAAAGCATCAAAGGACGGCTCTTCTTTCAGGCAGTCGCACGCCAGCCGATACATCACAAAATGGAAAATTATGGTCGGCGAAAGGCGTCCCAGGGTACACCCAAGCCAATGCAAAACCTTAGTCAGAATTGGGTCAAGAGGGAATCGTAACCCCAGCTTTACCTGCTCAACATGGATAGGAATCCAACCAGTCGGGCAGGACCCAGAGCGGCTCGCTTCAGAAGGAGTCGCGTACTGCCAATCCGGTGGAAGATTAAGCGACCTCAAACGAAAGAGAACCTGCTCAGGCTTGAAAACCCCTTCGTGTCTCGGTCCCAAGGCAAACACGTCAGTCGGGACCGGTTGACCGCCCCGCATTCCCTCATGCCGAAGAACGGTATAAACAGAGTCTTTGACTGCGATCGGAAGCGGTTCCACCCCTTCAGACTCCACTATTTCTAATGAGGATGACGTACTCAGGAGCGCCTCCGAGCGCACTCCATCACTGTCAACCGCCTCATACTCATTCAATGATATACTACCTAGACCTACCCGTTCAAAATCATCCATGTTATCCCCAACCGCGGATGAAGTAGCCATACCCCCAGCTGGTACAGGGCGGATGTTAGCAAAAGAGTTATCTAAGTCTACATTGATTCCGACAAGACAATCGCGCAATTCAAAACCACTCCCAACGTATAATTCTAGCCCTAATAAATCCCACACGCACTCAGAGGCGGTTCGAGTGGGAGAAGAGCGGGTCATACCTTGAGATACTGAGGCGGCTCCTCCAGAGGGTCCCGCGTTCTTCTTCGCAACACCAGGCGGTGACAACGGAACCCTCGAAGCGGCCTGGGTCTTCTCGGGGATCGTCTCCGAGACTGTGTTTGCGAGGGAGGCCTCGTTGGCGGCGGCGGCACCATTTCTCCCCGCGGCGACGGAAGCGGTACGATCATCGCTCGACATCTTCGGGAACAGTAAAAGCGAACGTCGTATCCGCCGCGAAAGAGAGATTCAAGCAACCAAACGCCGCGCGGTCGGCGCGATCGCTCGAAGATCGAAGTCAAACACAAAGTCAGAATGAGAATAGGGAAGAAACGAGAGTGCAATACACACGAGCTAACAAAATTTACCTGGGCTAGTTCGGGTTTATAAAGCTCGACAAGGAGAGGAGCGCCGACTCTGTCGCGGAGGAGGAAGAGAAGAAGACAAAGTATTTTCCGAAAGAGGAAGCAAAAATGGCGGAAAAAATCTCCCCCTTGGCCATTTAAACGAAAGTCGAAGCTCCAGACCCGAGGATGACGTTTCGCCTCCTCGCGTCAGAGCGCCAATATCGATGCACGACACGTGGCAGTTGCACAGTCACAAAGAAAGGCGCACACGCCTTAAAACCGCCCCTCAGGCGTTCCCACTTCATTCACACACGACAAGGGGCAAAGCGGGGAATCATGGGCAAGTCGACCCCTAACCGCTCAATGATACTCAGGCAATTAGTTAGTCGCGCGAGCCTAAAGCCTCTCATGCCTAAGGGGCAAATGTTGGGGTAATCATTAAGACGAATGGGCCTCCAAGCCCATGATCACTAAAAATCCCAATAAAGCTAACAAAGCCCAAGCAGGTGACTGGAAGGCAGTCTACCTCTAGCCCCATAAAAGACCGCCCGACATACAACGGAAGCAAAGCAGGGCGCCCGACAGCAAGCATGTACGGCGCCCTGACAACAAAGTACGGATACTGACCAAAGCGCAGGTCTGGCCATGCATTTATTAAAAGCCAGAAGCGTCCCAGGGACGCCCGACATAACGAAAGTTGTCCTCACTCCCATGTCCAGCTAGTATAAATATCCCCCTACAGGTCACATTTATGGTAACTCCTATCAACTACATTCTCTCTCTTATTTACTCCACATCACTTCTCTCTCTAACTTAGGCATCGGAGGAGGTCCCAGGACACCCCTGTGGACCTTTCTTGCAGGATTTCGAGGACCGCCGTTCATCCGCCCGGACCGCACGAAGCCAGTGAAGCCTCACGAAAAGCCTGGGACAAACCAGGCACAAACACTAACTAAGCAAATGAAAACTGTCAGGAGAAATTCAATGGAGAATGTTCTGGGAGAAACACCGGGATTCACTACCTATCATATCAAAATTAATTCACGACTTATAATCAGTTTAATCCAATTCTCTATAGCCAAGATATCACTAATGTGCTAGCTATCCCTGTCGGGAATTAGTACGTACTAAACAATCAATTCAAATCCTATTGTCGTAGCTCAATGAATTAACAATATCTATGCCCGATATCCTATTTAAGACCGCATAGCACCTTATTTAATCTACCGTCGCTTCAATAAGTTACTATGTCACATGAAATATATGTTTAGTCATTAACGTTTCATTGTTGCTAATCACCTAATTCATTACAAATCAATGTATTGGTGGTCAATCAACACGATGAATTAAGTAATTTCATGCAATAGATATTGCAGGAAAAGAAATACGAATCAATACATCAAGTATAGAAATAGCTACATTCTATGGTGTTTCCCCTAGAAATTCGATTTAGTTCATGATGAAAATAAAATAAGCAATCATGTTCTTGCACTAATCAAAGAAAAATATGAAGAGGAAGTCAAAGGGTAAAATACCTCGAGTACCACTTAAGTTTGAGAATTGGGGCAGACATACCACTTAAGTTTGAATAGGGCGTCGGGTACCATTAAATTCACCAAAATGTGCATCCGTCTAGTTTTTCATCCAACCCAAAATTTCAATTAATTTTTGGTACCCAAAAGTTTTAAAAACATCCAAAACTATATTTCAACAAGTTTTTATTTAATATAGAAATTAAAAAAACCTTCTAAACATAGTATTTCTAAAGTGGCTAATCAAAATTGTCAATAAAATAGATAAATTAGTAAAAATAATAAACAAATATCAAGAAGAAGAATAAATATATAGAATATAATAAATATTTAAAATCAATATTAGAAGATCTATTTAAATCGCTAATCCAATTAGAAGTACTATTAAAAATAGTTAAAATAGAACTTAATCGATCATCAATACATCAAGACCAAAGAAGGATAAATTGAAAAAAATTTAGAACAAAAAGAGAACAGAAGTAACCAAGTAATAAATAAATAAAATCTACAACATTCTGTAACAAATCTAAAAAAGAAAATACGACTATAGGAAGAGAATTATAGTAAATTTAATTAATATGGAACATCTAAAATATAATATTAGAGAATTATAAGGTATTTAACATAGAAAACTATGCAACATTAGCATGATGTACGAGAATTAAATATAGCATCCTCAGATTATTTATATCGATATAGAATTCATAGGATATATTTGCTTCAGCAAATTATTTAATTATTATAACATATAATGAGAATTGAAAATACTTACAATTGATAATTGATTCTACATTTCCTATTCAAAAATTGGTTTGGTATCAAAGTATTCAAAAGAGGATTCCAACTAAACAGAATTCATAGGATATATTTGCTTTAGAGAATAATTCAATTATTAGAAAACATAATGATAATTGAAAATACTTATAATGATAGTTGATTCTAATTTTTCTATTCAAAAATTAATTTGGTATCAAGTTTTCAAAAGAGGATACCAACTAAATAATAAAAAATGATGTTTTTCATAAGTCAAAATGATTTTTTACGATTAGAAAAGTAGAAGGACCAATTAAGAAATTTAGAAAACAAAATATTCTTGACTTTAACGGAATGCACCTAACATTAAACTTAAGTGGTACCGGGTGCACAAATAATAGAGTTTAGTGGTACCCGACGCCCTATTCAAACTTTGTCTGTCCCAATTCTCGAACGTATCAAGCACTTTGACTTCTTGAGCTCCGCTAGAAAGTTGTCAATTCTCTTATGCTGATCCAATTAAGGTCTCAACTTCGTTGACTCTGCTCCAAAAAATCAGTCCGCCTCCAAATCTAGCGTTGCTCCCCTTGACTGCTTTCGCGTCCCATTAATTCCCCCAGGCCACTCCGCTTATTCCGCCCCGCTCTCTCCTTGATTCCTCTCTCGATCCAAGTCCAATTCCGCTCGCCAGTCGCCACCAAGCTTCTCCTTTTAGTTCCCACACCAATTCTTTCCATCTGGGTAAAAGAAGAATGGGCTTGTGGCATTGTTAATTTATTTGTCCAAGGGAGCTCCCTTGCGGAGAAGGGCTCTCATTTCCCTTCCAATAATCCTTGATCGGTCCAAGTTTAATCAAATAATGCCCCTTTTACAAAATGTACCGGTCCTAGTCATCCACTTGCTTGTAAAATCTTTTGTTAGCCTATCATACTTCTGGATGAATGTGTTTCTACTACCTTTGTCTATAATAAAGGAGATCGAACAAAAGTGCTGCAAATTTATATGGGGGTATTGATGATGAGTCAATCAGAAGAAAAGCAGTAATGGCTTGGGATTTATTAACAATCCCAAAACAAGAAGGAGAACTTGGCATTCGATGTTTAAAAACATGGAACATAGCCTGCACCACGAGACATATTTGGGATCTGCTTGCTAAAGGAGCATCTTGTTGGGTTGCTTGGAATAACTTATATCGAATCAAGAATCTTACTTTATGGGAAGTCATAGCATGGAGTTCATCCTCTTGGATATGGAAACGATTACTAAAGGTTCGGGACAAGGTGGAAGACTTCTTTCGTTGTTGGGGAACACAATTCTACTAGAATGACGAAAGGTGTTGTGCTACTCAATAAAGCAAGTATGGAAGGACATGCATTCGTCTAGACCAGTAGTCCCCTGGTTTCAGCTTGTCTGGGGGCTTTATTCAATTCCTCAACACAGTTTTTTGAGTTGGCTAGTGACTCGTAATAGGATCACTACACTGGATCAGTTGAAAAGTTGGGGGAAAGTATAGGATGATAACTGCTTATTCTGCTCAGCTTGCATTGAAAACAAGGACCATTTATTCTTCTAGTGTCCTTACACGTACAATGTACTGAAAGGGTGTCTGCAAATGATCACTATGTGATGTCCTCAGCTTGCAAACTATGAGGCTAATCTGATGTTGGTTGCTGGACAATTAAAGGGTAAGAAGCACCCAGCCATGGTTGGTACTATGGTTTGGAACTTGGTAGTAAGTATGGTTTGGCGAGAGCGCTGCGGCAGACTCTGTGGAGATAAAACAACGCAGTATGGGGAAGTGACTATTATGATTCGAAGGATAATAGAGTTGGCTCAGCTTGAGAATGCAACGCTAGACATGGATTGTTGGTTGGTTGTCTTATAATAGCTTTGGTAAGGAGTAGTCTCTCGTCTCAAGTTTATAGTGTTGTTAGTCTCTACTTTCTACAGCTTTAGTTTCCAAATGTAAAGATACAGATGTGTAACCCTTATTTGGGGAGTACATAGAGCTTCAATAAAGTTTTTTTATATTGCCCACAAAAAATCTTCCGTTAGTCCACTCCGACTTTAATTGCTCTCTTTGCCAATGCACATGCTTACATACCCATTTGTTTTTCCACCTAAAATATATCAAATACTAACACATTGCGTTAATGGTCTTATAACCATTCCAGAGTCTGAGTGCCTTAAAACAAGCATTATATGTCTCAAACATATAATGTAATAATCACATTAAGCGCACAAGATCAATATATTTTCGAAAATTATCACAAGCCCTCACTCAAAATTGCTTGTCCCTAAGCAATGACTCAGACAAGAGAACGATAATTGGAGGAAACACAACACAAACTAGAGAGACACAACCTAGATCAAGACACAACCTACGACACACAATACACAACATCAACACAAGAAATTTACCCTTGTACTCTTGTGATAATCAGTAGGTTCTTTCTCATTGTATGAGATGTGCTTTAAGGATCATAACTTTCACCCCCCCCCCCCCCCCACACTCAAGTTCTTTGCAACCAATTACCATTGACAACACTCAATTTTGATCATCGACAACAGTTAAATAACAACTTAGGGTTCAACAGTTAATAGGAAAATCTAACCACATCAGTGAGGTGCATATCTCGTGAGGACAATCTTGCTTATTCACATCAATCATAAGCAACCAACTAAGCACAAGAGTCTCAAAAACTCATGGGGGTACTTTTAGCAAACTTTCTTTTAACTTTGAGCACTTCACTACCTTTTCTGACAAGGAGAGTCTTCTATCTTTCTGATTTTGCTTGCCGAGTAGTCGTATTTAGTACAAGTGGGATTTATTTCTTTCTACCGGTGACCGAGCACGAGAAATTTATGCTTCTTAGCACTCGCATAAGGGTTCTTTTAACAGGAGGTTTCACCCCCGACCAAAATCCCCAGCCAGTCCATCTCACCCCTAATTGAGTAATTTTAATACGCCCCTGGGGGGGTGTATGTTATCAAAGTCATGCAGCTAACGACTCAATCGAAGGATCGATTGAGCTCGAATCAAGAACGACACGTTCTTAATACGAACTTGGATAAAACGGAACCAAAAGGACAATTCCACACCTGGGGAACGCTCGATTGGTATAAAAGGTAGATCCCCGACCACGATTGAAGTGACTATTCAATCGATACAAGAGCTCACGAGCTTGGAATCCACCAAACTCAACACAAGTCGCAACTTGCACAAAAATCAAAAGGTTCTCAATTCGATTAATCCAAGTCTTCTTCTTCCCAACTTTCGATAGCTTCTTCGTCAAGTAAATTAAACGTGTATAATGAACCATTAGGGATCATATCAGGCCCTCCCTCTTGAAAAAGTGTTGCCCTCAACACTTTGACCTTTCTTTGCCCAAATCATACACAAAATTGATCCCAAATTGGATTGAAAGTGGGCTGCTCAAACATGTTTTGCTGCAGAATTTCCTTACCCAGAATCTTCAATTCGAAATTGGGCGTTTCTTGTTCAAGAATCTTCTTGACGAATTGATTGCTCCTAGACCTTCCAAAAACCTCTAATAACGATTCTACATCGTTCTTTCGATTGGATTCATGCCCAGTCGTTCCGACGAAATACCCATTTTGGAGACGAGTTCCTGCATTTGCAGAAGAGCTTCTACAAAACTGAGTATTTTGATTTGCAGCTATTGTAGCTTGATTCTGGGTAGGGAATTTGTTCCTCGGTTAGTTTGTGATGTTTCTGCAGCATTGCTTCGGCTCGAATTGAGCTGGATGGTCCAACGCAAGGTGTCTTGGTCGTCGTTCAATTCGAAATTGGGCGTTTCTTGTTCAAGCATCTTCTTGACGAATTGATTGCTCCTAGACCTTCCAAAAACCTCTAATAACGATTCTACATCGTTCTTTCGACTGGATTCCTGCCCAGTCGTTCCGACAAAATACCCATTCTTGGAGACGAGTTCCTGCATTTGCAGAAGAGCTTCTCCAAAACTGGGTATTTTGATTTGCAGCTGTTGTAGCTTGATTCTGGGTAGGGAAGTTGTTCCTGTGTTAGTTCGTGATGTTTCTGCAGCATTGCTTTGGCTCGAATTGAGCTGGATGGTCCAACGCAAGGTGTCTTGGTCGTCGTTCAATTCGAAATTGGGCGTTTCTTGTTCAAGCATCTTCTTGACGAATTGATTGCTCCTAGACCTTCCAAAAACCTCTAATAACGATTCTACATCGTTCTTTCGACTCAATTCGTGCCCAGTCGTTCCGACGAAATACCCATTCTTAGAGACGAGTTCCTGCATTTGCAGAAGAGCTTCTGCAAAACTGGGTATTTTGATTTGCAGCTGTTGTAGCTTGATTCTGGGTAGGGAAGTCGTTCCTGGGTTAGTTTGTGATGTTTCTGCAGCATTGCTTTGGCTCGAATTGAGCTGGATGGTCCAACGCAAGGTGTCTTGGTCGTCGTTCATCGTCACAAGCAGAGATGCTTTTGGCAAAATCACATCTGCAATTTCGGGTTCGTTCTCCTCCATTAAATATGCACTTGACGTTCCTGGGGTCGTAGGAAATGTGTCGCCATCGGTGGGTGGTCTCGAATCATCCCCCATAGCTCCCACCAATTCATTCTCTCTCATGCTCTGCACATTCGTCGGAAGAACTGGAAGCGCTGCTGCTCGCGTCACCGAGTCGAGTCACACATTGTTGGTCAGCTTCGGGCCTTCTCCTTGCTCTCCCATCCCTCCGGAAACATCCACGGACGCGTTTAAGGCCGAATTGTGTGCTGGCTTTGCTTCTACGATGTCGGCAGGACTGCAGAAGATGGAGCTCTGTTTCACATCGGAAAAACAAAGGTCGTTGCTAGCTGTCGTTTCTAGCGTGGGAAATTCCCTCTGGAGCTTTTGAAAGCTCAAGAAATTGAAGCCAATACTTCGTCACATTGATCGTCCCGTGTTCGTTGATCCAGCTGAGTTGGTAAGACTCAGGGTGTCTTTGCGTCGTCAATCCGAGCTTTTGGACGACATATAGGCTTATAATGTTTGCACAGGAGCCTCCATTGATCATGAGCGGCACCACTTTCTCCTCGATGAAGCATCAACTATGAAATAAGTTATCTCTCTGCTCGTCGGATTCCCGATGTAGAACTCTACCTGCTGGCCGCTTCTCTTGGCCACGAAATTTGAGATTCTTGGCCTCTACACTGCTTTCCACCATCTCTTTTCGTAGAACCCAAAAATTGAACTAGAAACAGCAGCTGCAAGACACGAATAGGGCTGCTCAAAAACAGGGGCTGCTTCTCCCTGTTTTCCCTCGAATTCTGCTTGTATGAAACAGTAGGTTTTCGTGCTCTTCTTCTCCCTTGTGTAGAACGGGGCTCTGATACCACTTAATACGCCCCTGGGGGGTGTATGTTATCAAAGTCACGCAGCTAACGACTCAATCGAAGGATCGATTGAGCTCGAATCAAGAACGACACGTTCTTAATACGAACTTGGATAAAACGGAACCATAAGGACGATTCCACACCTAGGGAATGCTCGATTGGTATAAAAGGTAGATGCCTGACCACGATTGAAGTGACTATTCAATCGATACAAGAGCTCACGAGCTTGGAATCCACCAAACTCAACACAAGTCGCAACTTGCACAAAAACCAAAAGGTTCTCAATTCGATTAATCCAAGTCTTCTTCTTCCCACTTCGATAGCTTCTTCATCAAGTAAATTAAACGTGTATAATGAACCATTTGGGATCATATCAAATTTCATAGGAGGCCGGGGAGGTCGTGCAGGAGGCCCCCCAGTTTGTGACCCTTAATCCCCGATCGGGGATTTCATGTGAGGAATTAATGGTTGTGTGACGTTTTGGTAAAACCCTGGTTTGCCCTCCAAATACGCGACCGGGTATTTTAGGCCAGGAAGCCCAACTCGGGCTGTTACAAGCCGAACAAGAGAAATTGAAGGGGATTGGATTTTGCAGCGTGAAAATAGAGTTTTAGAGAGAGAAAGTGACAAAGAGTGAACCTAGAGTGCCCTAGATAAAGTCTCCCCACCATTGGAGCTCGATTCGAGCCTCAAGGGGCGACGATCGACGACCTGGAGCAGATTTCTTCCGTCTACATGATGATTTATGCATCCGGCTCTGCTTTCCTCTCTCTATGGACTAATCCCCTCTTTCACTTGGGTATGTAAGAACCCTAGATTGTATGTAAGGAAAAGTTGTATGAACCCTTTGTCATGAATGATTGATTGATTGATTTTTATCCAATTGAGGTATTAATTTAAATTTGCTTGAGTCTTGTTTAAATTCTAGTGATTCCTGCTTTGACCTAGAATGGTAATCTTTGCATAGGTCATAAAGCATCTTGAATTGGAAGTAGTGAATCAACGACTTTAGTTGAGAAGCCGATTCACTGCTCTATACTGGAATAGAACCCAATAGAGGAAGTTCGAATATTATTTCCTCAGTTTGAATCTTGATCGTACTTGTCGCCAGCTCAAAGTGCTCAAATTGAGACTGGCTATGGAGGAGGACTTGGACAAGGTCGTTGTTACAGAAGGATCTAATAGCGAAGAGGAAAAAATGGGTGACCCCAATAATGCAGTTGGGGACGTGCGAGACCCGCCCGAGAAGCGGACTATGGGGTACTACTTGACCCCTAGAGCCGAGGATTTGAGGTCTAGCATCCAACACCCTCAAGTTGCTGCTAACAACTTTGAGGTGAAGACCTCTGTCATCACGATGTTGAATGACTCTTTGTTCTTCCATGGGAGGATAGGGGAGTGCCCTCGGGAGCATCTGCGACGGTTCTGTGAGTTGATCGATGAGATTAAGCTCAATGGAGTGCCTCAAGAAGCCATTCGGCTTAGCTACTTCCCTTTCACCCTAGAGGGACTGGCCAAGACTTGGCTTGATACTCATTCTCCCGGATTGATTACCACATGGACCACCATGGCTGACAAGCATCTGAACCGCTATCACCCCCCATAAAAAACTGTAGATATACAAAAGAAGATTGATTCGGTCTGCGGCGGGAATATGCTGACCAAGATGCCTCCACTGCTGAACCAACTTTTTTAGGATATGACAGAGTAGGGTTATGAATGGGGATCCACCAAGCAGTCTCGCGAGCTCCGGGTCGTGGTGTGCATGATGGATGCTCAGTCCCTTGCCCTGCTGGATGTGGTTTCAAAGCTGGTTACGAAAATTGACCGTAACGGAATGATTACAGGCACAGGTCAGCCACAGGTAATGTACTGCCAGTGGTGCGAAAGCACCAATCACACGATGGAGGACTGTCAGGCCATGCGAGAGTCCAGTACACCGCAGGAGCAGCTGAGTTTCATAAAGAATACTAGGCGCATAAATCCCTACAACAACACCTACAATGAGGGGTGGTGCCAACATCCAAACTTCTCCTGGAGTGGCAACATCAACACCAAGCCACCATAACATTATTAATTTAGTGCTCTATTTTTGGTTGAAAGTTATTCAATAACGATCCAATGTCTCATAAAATTTGAATTGAGTTCACATGCAAGACCACAAACATCCCGGAAGAGTGAATTAGAATAGCATAAAATAATCGACAACACAAAATTTTAATTAGTCATAGGAGTAATTTTGGAATTATAAATTGATTTTATTTATGTTTTTATTTATTTGTCCAATCCTTTTTTTTTTTGGTATCTTACCTTGTTTATACCAACCAGATGATAAAATTGTACAAACCATACAAACTAGACTGACAAACAATACAAAACATACGAACTATACAAATAATACAAACTCGACCGACAAACAATACAAAATGGAAAAATAACCAGGTTGACTTTGAAGGCTTTGTCCCTATATAGAAGAGTTTCGTCCCAAAGTCAACTCTATTGTTTCTTAGACATACAAACATTACAAACATGCAGGACAAAACTGAAAAACAATACAAAATGGAAAAACAACTAGGTTGACTTTGGAGGCTACGTCCCTATATAGAGGAGTTTATCGCAAAGTCAACCAAGTTGTTTTGTAGGCATACAAACATTACAAACACGGTGGACAAAAATAACATACCATACAAACTAGATTTACAAACCATTCAAAATAGATTTACAAACAATACAAAAATACAAAATGGAAAACAACCTGGTTGACTTTTGAGGGTTCGCCACTATATAGAGGAGATCCGTACCAAAGTCAACCATGTTGTTTTTTAGTCATATAAACTAGGGGTGGTATTCGGTTATCCAGTTACCGGTTTAACCATTTAACAAACCGATAACATATAACCGACGATACCGGTAGACGACAGACTAAATAACCAAACGGTATATTGACTCCTGATTGGTAAATTACCGGTAGTTAGCCGGTTACCCAAAACTGAAAACCATCACAAATAGAAGCAAAATGTTGTCCTCCCCTGACTCACCCTTCTTGAAAACCTTCTTCTTTATCTACGAAAAAGTTAGACTGCTAACAAGCGTTTTTGTTAGCAGATACTAACACGGGCCGGATTTATGCCACGTCCCAAATGTTGCGATCCAAGGGGCGAGTGTCGGGCTTATTAATTGGTTGCTGGTGGGCTTTTTAGCACAGCCGAAGGAAGGGGGTTGTTTTGGGCAGAAGGCAAATGGGAAAAGTGGGCCCGCGTGTGATTAAATTTGTGGAAAAGAAAACGAAATAATGGAAAGGGAGACGTCATTAAATGCCCAACCACCCAACTCTCTCTCTCTCTCTCTCTCTTCGTAATTCTCGGTTTTTCATCACCAACAGTGGGAAGAGACGCCGCCGCCAACAACCCAACAATAATTTGTGGCCACTGTCTTTTCCTTTCCGGCAAGTCTTGTCCACGGTCTAGGATGCTGATCGACGAGAATGGTGAGTTGGATGATCAACGAGCTTCTCCAATGAAGAAGTATAAGCCGATCATCCAAAATAGTGAAGAAGAACCCTATCCTACATCATATGAGTTTGTTGATGAAGATTCAGGTGGTGCTCCTGCCCTCGATGAAGAAGAAGAAGAAGAAGAAGAAGAAGAAGAAGAAAATAAAGTTTGATTGAGTAATATGTGTGTGTGTGTGTGTGTGTGTATGTGTGTGTGTGTGTGTGTATGTGTGTGTGTGTGTGTGTGTGTGTGTGTGTGTGTGTGTGTGTGTGTGATTGGTTGGTTGCATTGAATGGCATTTAATGATGTTGATGTTGTTATGGCCTATGGGGTACTGATATTCATGGATACGACTTACTTAAATGTTTGATATTAGTCTGGACGTATTGGGCGTGGTGTGTAATCTACTGTTTAATGCATTGTTTGATACTATTCTGATACTTATGGATATTATTTCTTGAAAGACTGGATATTTGTTGAAGCCTATGTACTCTAACAGTTTGTGGGTAATATTTCGACGTATGTTGGATAGCAATTGTTGGATAGTTAGTAGTATGGTCATATTGATTTCATTTGTTTATTGGACAATATGGATAATAACGTGTCTCATACCATTAACTCGCATCTCATAACACGTTGGACCTAGAAGACGAGGTAGCGAGGAAGAACATCTTTTATTGCACTAAGGATTAGTGTTTGAATTTCTGTAAACGCTATGCTCACAAAAGAGGGTTTGGTGTTTGAATAGATGGTGAACACCTAAAAAATAAGAAGAATTCTAAAGGAGTGGTGGAGAAAAATTATTTGTACCTTTATTACTTTTGTAATAAGGTAGGTTGGACAAACACTAGCCAAGTAAACGTCAATGTGGACGAACAGAGACAACCGAGAGACAAGGTTGTGGAGAGAAGGCGCCCTACAAGAAAGAGGCCTCGAGTTAGGGATGGATGTCCCGCCCGTCTTCGTTTTCGATGGGATGCTACTAGGGACGGATTTCTGGTGTATGAATTCGTAGAAGCCCACAGTCATGATTTGCACTCTACCGAGCATATGCACTTGCACAAGTCCAACAAATGCATGAGTGATGCTCAGAGAAAGATGGTCGAAGCTAATCGCGATGCCGGGATGAGTCTTAGTGCATCGTATAAATTATTGGCTGACTGTGCTGGTGGCTATCAAAATCTGAGATTTACCAAATCCGATCAGAAGAACCACTTGAATGGTAAAAGGCAAAGGAAAATGGCTCGTGGCGAAGCGACTTATTTGCTTGACTACTATGAGGACCAAAAAGAAAAGCATCTTGGATTCTTTTATGCTATAGCGGTAGATTGCAAGGAGAAAGTTGCTAATATCTTTTGGGCGGACTGTAGGATGCGTGAAGATTATGTGCTTTTTGGAGATTCGATCTCCTTTGATACCACCTTCTGAACCAATAAATACTTCCGTCCACTGGGTACGTGAATCACCTAATTCCCTTGAGTTTTTTCGACACTCGTTCGATTATGCATTGTCATTAATAGTTGTCTTATGCATGGATGTTTGTATGTATGTTATAGAAATGGTTATGAATAGAATGTAGGGTGGTTCGAGAGTGGTCTGTTGTGATCCGATATTAACATGTGATGACAGGATATGCTTTTGTAACAGGATAGATATTAGTCCGTCATCATGAGATACTAGTATGAGCTTTACAGATATTTGTTGACATGTGTTGTCATTAATAGTTGTCTTGTGCATGGATGTTTGTAGCTTTCAATCACCACCGTCAAACTTGTGTGTTTGGTACTTGTTTGATGTATGATGAGACCACACCATCTTTTGAATGGTTGTTTGTTGCATTTAGTCGGTGCATGAAGAAGAAGCTATCAGTCACTATTTTTACTGATTAGGACGCCACCATGGCAGCTGCCCTTAGAAAGGAGTGGCCTACTATGTTTCATGCACTTTGTACTTGGCACATCCTCATGAATGCTAAGAAGCATCTTCGTAAGGACAAGGCATTTTGGAAGAAGTTCCAAACTTATCTTTCTTTTATTTTCTACGACATCAACAGTGAGAGAGAGTTCGACATGGCATGGAGCACAATGGTTGTTGATTGTTTCCCTAATAGCGAAATTGCGGACGGTCACCCATGGTTGGAATATTTGAAGAAATTTCGTCATCAATGGTGTTCCTTATGGTAGAGAGATCAATTCACAGCCGGGATGTTGACTACGCAATCCAATGAGTCGTGCAATGCACAAGTGCGACTTTTCTTGAAACCGAGACATGATTTGGACTTATTTTTCATTCATTTTAGCAGGTACGTACGCAGTATATATCTTTTCCTTTCATTGATATTAGCTTGTCCGTTCTGGATATTTTTCTTTGTCTTCTAGATATTAATATGCTTTTGTTAAATATTATTTTGTGTTGGTGGGATATTAGTACTAGTCTGAGTGGATATTAGTCTGGGCACTAAACTCTTTTCTCGTGCTTTCTAAATGTAGTATGTTGGCTACAAAAAGAAGCAAGGAGACTGATTCAGACTACAATGGGAAACAATTGGTTCCCTATATAATGTTGGAGCACAACCCGATTCTAAAACATGCGGCAAAGATCTTTACTTCTAATATCTTCAATCGGATACAGGAGCAGTATTTGAAAACTGAATCCTATCTAATGGAGACGCTCTCAAATACTAGGGATGATGTCATGATTGGCTATCGCATATATATGATAGAGGATGGTGAGCATAGTGATGAGCGTGTCGTTCTCGTTGATATTTCTACGAGGACATTGGCATGTGAATGTAGGATGTTCAGAACTTTCGGAGTGTTATGCCGCCACATGATTAAGGTGATGCGGCTTCTTGGAGATTTTGGGAAAGCCAGTATGAGAAGTATTCCAGATCATTACATACTCAAGCGATGGACATTGGAGGCGAGAAATAAAGAGGTTGTTGATGTCGATGGTTCTGTTGCTCCTTCAGCTGCCAGTGAGAATGATGCGGGAAAAGGTATAGAAATGCGGTTCCGAGAAACCACTGCAATGTTGAATCAGCTAGCAACGAACATGTCGATGGCCGATGAGAAGGACTACAATAAGTGGATGGGAGTACTCAAGAAACTGTGCAATGAGGCAAACAAGGCATTGTCAAATACTATAACTAGCGAGGACAGTAAGTGTATTCACTTATATCATTTGTAAATTGTTAGAGTTTAATATCATTGCATTTACTAAATTCTCTAACATTGTAGGACGGAATGTACCGGTAACTGGGCTGACTTTTAAGGAGAAGAGTAATCCAAGGAGCTAAGGTAAGGAATTTTATCAGTCTACGAATGAAAAGGAACGCCGTCAAAAGAAACATGTGTATAAGAAGAGAATGAAATCAGTTGAAGTGGTCACGCCGGACAACAATACTCAACCGGGTGGCCATCTTAGTGATTTGGATGAGAATATTACTCATGGTTATGAATAGAATGTAGGGTGGTTCGAGAGTGGTCTATTGTGATATGATATTGACATGTTATTCCATGATACTTTTTTGTAATGATGTGGATATTAATCCACTTGTAAAAGATACTTGTCTGAGCAAAATGGATATGTAAACTAATATGTACAGATATTAGTATGGGCTTCCTGGATATCAGTATTTTCAAAGCAGGTTCAATAGTACCAATGATTACTTCTTTCACTATTCACATGTGACCTTTTTTGTTACTATACTCATGTGACCTTTTTTGTTACTATTCTCCAAGGACAAGTCTATTTAAGACAAATCATACACAAACCCAAATCGGCTATCCTCCTCCCTCAGTTTCTTCTTCACTTCTCTTCCAAAGCAAAATCGATGTATGGAGAGACTCCTAAACCAGCGCGTCGGGGATTGGTGGTTGAGTTTGAATATGATGTTGTTATACTTTGTTACCATGGTTGGAGAGCCGCTAAATGACTTGTTGTTGATGGAGTCACCCCATCGAAGACGTATTTCCGATGTGGAATGTACGAGTACGACAATGATAAGGGGTGCGATTTTCACATGGATTGGGACAAAGTAACGTTCCCCGCTTTTTCAGAGTCCGATGATGAAGATAACACCGAGGAGACCGTGAAAAAATGAATTAGTAATTTCTTTCATCATTTTGTATTGTGTTGAGTTTGTTTCTATTTCCGATTCAAAGTGTTATCCATCTTTATCTACTATTAGTCTGGGCTCCAAGGATATTAGTCTACAAAAGAAGGGTATTGGTCTGGGCCTTAAGGACATTAGTCAGGGCTCTATTGATATTAGTCTGGGTCTTTCGGATTTCTGTCTGAGTCTTTCGGATATTTGTCTGTGATTTGATGATATTTGTCCAAATAAAGAAGGTATTTGTCTGGGCTGTAAGGATATTTGTCTGTTCTTTAAGGATATTAGTCTACAAAAAGACAGATATTTACCTGGGAGGTTACAATATATTTTTCAATAAGAACTTATGTTGGTAATTATATCCAACATCTGGCAAAATATCCTCCATCCTGCTACAAACCATCATCCATCCCTAAATATTATCCAACCCTAAATAGCATCCATCCCTAAATATTATCCAACCCTAAGTTCAGTTTTGCAAACCAAAATCACACTACACAAGTCTAAAATCAACTTCTCTTCCTTTTCCCTTTTTCTTTCTCTTTCTTCGTATTCCAATCTTTTGCATCTTGAATTATTTCATCGGTGCGGCGGTTATAGTCCCATAAAATGAGGTTGGCTACAATCTGTGCTCGTTGTTCCTTCACATGTGGTTGCTTGTGCCAACTTGCTTTATATTCCACTAGAAGGTGACCCGCCCATTGCTCCATGTGAAGCATGCAAATACACCACAATTATGGTTGCCTAATTGCTGAGGAACGTCGGCAATGTTGAATGGCCACTCATCCAATGCACAATCGACCCCCTACTCTTTGAGGAACGCTGTTGCATACCCAAAAATCATTTTCCCAACTGGTCCATGATCCTCCTTAGTCACTCGGGCATTGGGCTTTATGCTGTCCAGAATGAAAGTCTTCCTATTCTTCATGTCAGCCACGTATATCCGGTTGTGATCATTTAGATACATTGGAAAAAATATCTGAAACACAAAGCAGTTAGTGAGTTAATCATTGACAAATATCCTAATAACCCAGATTAATATCTCAACAAACCATAATAGTATCTTATAAACACAGACCAATATCAAGGAAATTCAGGAAAAAATATCCAAACATTGAAGACACTTACGTAATCACATCTTTTCAAGTTTTCTCGTTTCAGAATTAGATTCCTTTTGTACAGATGAATATACGCATGGAGTCTCGCCTTGTCCATAGGTTGTTTTTTGACAGCATTAGTGATGACATGTTGCTATTTAGAAGAGAAAACAATATCAAATTAGACATTTTCAATATAAATAGGATCTAAGTAGTGAAGATAATACTTACTACATAGCTCCAAGGGAAGATAACCCTTCGGACACTTTCCCGCCATGAATCCCACTTATACATCACTTTTTCAGTCAAGGACTGTAGTACCTTAAGCTACACATACATCCCAAAAATTTTGTTTACTACATGCACTCATGTCTACTAACCCACGATTTCCAGTTTAAAAGACAATCATCTACATACCTCGTCGGTCTTAAGGATTCCAAGTCTATTTCCTCCCACCATTCTGTCGTGTATAACCGCGGAGAAGCTGTACGAGGAGCTGAGCTGCTTGTTCCTGATTCCCACTCCCTACTGACACATTCTAGAAAGAAGCGAGATCGAGCTTCTTCTCTCGACAACAACACGGGAGCCACATCATATAGCTCCGCCTTGGGGACATCCAAGCATAGGTTATCCACCCTTGGATCGAACCAATAGCTGTAGCTGGGGATTGTATTTGTGGCGAATCCTCTCACCTTAAGGAAGTCCATCAAATGAAGCTACAAAAAAATGTTTTTGTTAGAAAAGATATCCCAATAAAAAACTACCACTATCTAGGCAGCATAGAATAGTACCCAGTCATGCTAAAAAGATACCTTGTATCAAAATAACTAATATGCCAAAAATGCTAACAAATATACACAGCTTTAAACTATAACTTACCATCAAGAAGTGGATATCCCCATTAACCCATTACATCATTTGTCCCTTCGCCCTAGCTTCAACTTCTCTTAGGAACATCGACCAGCCGAAGCTCAAATAGGCTTCCAAATCCAGCCTTCTCGATCTCTCTCTTGCAAGCTTCATAGTATCGTGGATCTTGCATCCAGTCTTTTATAATTGACAGCACCTTCTCGGTGCTACAGTGAAATCTATATTGGCGGCTGATAGACCGTCATTTACACATGTTTTTACCCCCATTCTTACACCGTTTGAGGTGTTGATTCTCGTGTTTTAGGCCGATTTCACGGTAGGTTGTGCTTGTTTGTGATATTTCAGGTCCTAGGACGTGAATGTAGGCTTAGGAGCGAGTCTGGGGTCGATTGGACGAGGATCGGACGCATGGCGAGGTTCTGAGGAAGTCGCACGGGCACACCCACAACCCGCACGGCCGTGCAAGTGACCAGTTTGGCCGTGCGGGATTGTGCGTGGGCACGCACGGGATTGTGCGTGGCCACGCACGGCCGTGCAAGTGACCAGTTTGGCCGTGCGAGTTGGCTGAGGTTCAACTAATTGATACGCCGCGTTTTGAGGTGCACGGCCAGAATGGTGATGTGCACGGCCGTGCACCCTGCCCGTGCGAGTCGGGATTTTCTGCTTTTAAGCATATTTTCAGCCACAAGTCGAGGGGATTCGAGTTTTTGAGAGAGAGATCAGTTCCTAGAGAGAGAAAGTGACGAGCAAGAGTTCCCAAGTGCCCTAGATTGATCTTCAACACCATTGGAGGCCAGCTTGAGCTTGGAGAAGTGCCAATCAACGTCCAGAAGCAGGAATCCATCCTTCGCAGTATGAATTCCGTGTCTGATTCTGCTTTTGCTTTCTTCTCTATGGAGTAGTTCTCCCATTCATCTGGGTATGGAGAACCCTAGATTTGTATGTTAGGCTTTGATTGTATGAACCCAAGTACTGATTCTGTGATTGATTATATTCGATTGAGGTTTTGATGATTGAATGACTTGAATCCTGATCAAATTCCTGTTGTTTCTGCTTTAACCTAGAATGAGAATATCTGCCTAGGTTAATAGAGTATCCTTGATTGAAGGTAGGGAGTTGGTGACTTTAGTCGAGGAGCCAACTCACTATTCTGTACCGGATTTACTCCGGTAGTGGAGGTTTTGTTCTTAGGGCCTCAATCTGTCGACTCCGGTGGAGGTTAGTCGCCCGCTAGAGAGTCAGATTGAGAGGGTCTGAAGACCTTTAGTCGAGACTTCAGGCTGTTTAAGAACCTTCCGCAGTATAACTGTCATAGAAACTGAACTTGGTAATTACAATCCGGCTTAACTGCAGTCTAGGGGGAACCATATCCGGGTGACCTCTTTAACCTGAATACAACAGTTTACTTGCTTTGTTTGTTTGGTAGTTTAGACTTGCACTCTAGTTTTATTGCTAGATAACAAGAAATCACTGAGTAGTCAGCAAATCTAGGACCCGGGTTGATAATTAAACCTAAACCCGCTATACTACGCTTTAGGAAGTGGTTACACTTGGCCAATTCCTGGAGTGACAGTAGAGTCGAGTCAGCGGCCTCCTCCTCCTTCAGCAACTTCATCATTTTCTTCGTCCTCATCGTCGTCCTCACCGTTTTTGTCCTCATGGTCTTGCCTATCATCGTCTTGGTCACCATCGTCTTCATGCTCAATTTCTGCATCCCCAAAATCAAATTCTTCTTCCTCATCTTACTGTTGTTATTTAGCACGTTTAGGCCTCGAGGTTTCATCTTCTGTTCTGAGCCTCATTGCTGCAATAGCTTTAGTTCTTGCCAATGTTGTGATTTCCCTGCAACGTTAGAATATCCAAATTCGTCAAACAACTATCCAGGCAATTCACAATTGATATCCAGATATACCAAACAGATATCCAGGCAAATGAAAACAAATATTCTCCTTCAACAGAACTAATATTGGATCCCACATACACAAACCCAGAACACAAGCAACCCAGATCCAGTCAAATCAGCAAAAAATAAAATCGGGTTACTCAAAATCGTAACCATGCACACCAGGGCAATACCCAAACCCGTCAACACTCGTATCCATCACACAACCATGAAAATGAATCCCAGACATCCATACAAACCCCAACGAATTATTAACAAGCCGAGCCAACCAAAACCCCCAATCCATGAAACCCTAAATATTATCCATGCCAAAACCTAAAACGGATCTATGAAATCTAACAGTCTTAAGTACGAATGAAGCAAGGGGAAGACACATACCTTATCGCGCGTAGTCCTTGTCTCGATGCCGTCACCGTCATGTTACTGTCAAAGTTGTCGTCGCAATTGTCGTGACCGTCGTCCTCACCGCTACAGTCAAAGCCCAATTCTTCCATCTTCCCCATTCATCTAGTGGAGAGACATCCCTCTCCTTTATATCGACAAGAATTCTCATCCTGATGTCAACCCCAAAATTAAGGAGAAGAGGGGTGTAATGGTGGAATTTTCCCCCAGAGACATAAGTCGCCGCCGCCTACAGCAGCCATTGACGCCAAAATCCTCTATCGTTGCATGCGAGCAGCACCGCGGTGGCGATGATTTTGAACCGGTCGCATCTAGGAAAGCGGGGAAAGTGCTAGAAGATAAGAAGGAGAAGAAGGAGATAGATCCGATAGCCACCAGCCGCACTCGAACTCTCCTACGAGTCGATTGATTCCAGATATGAATCACCGATGCGAGGAGGTGCTGATGTAGATTTGAATCACCGACTCGAACCTCCTCCAGGGATTCCGAGTTATATGTATTCGCGATGTCTCATGATCCCTGCGCGATCCCGCTGCCGTATTTCTCGAAGTAGGTTTTCGTCGACGACTCCGCTACCCAAGAGATGCAACGAACGCGGTGAGGGGGGAGGGAGATAAGAAGATATTATCCGGCATAGGGTGGTAACTAGTTGCTAACCGATAACCAGTTATCCGGTTACCGGTTCTACCGATTCCCTTCCGGTAACGGTAGCCGGCAACACTTTGTGGAAGACAATATACCGGTAACCGAACGATTACCACCCCTTTATAAACATAACAAACATGGTATGCAAATATGACAAAACTTACAAATATTACGTAAGAAATTGATAAACATTACAAAAATAATAAAGTTTACAAACATTACAAAATAAACCGAAAAACATTATAAAACATACTAACTGTACAGAACACCACTATTTACAATACAAATCGGTAACCTTGTATTACAAACTAATAAATACAAAGTATAAAAATCATAACATAAAGTATACAGACTACTCAAACAAACATTATAAATTACCATATATACTAAGTAGTCATATAAACATTACAAACATAATAGACAAAAATGACAAACTAGAATTACAAACATTATAAACCGAATGGATAACCAGACTTACAAACATTACAAAATAGACCGACAAACATCACAAAACTATCATCACCACCGGAAAATTTCCCATACTCAGAAAATCCTCTCCGCCATTGCCGAAAAATTCTTTCTCTCTCTCTCTCTCTCTCTCTCTCTCTCTCTCTCTCTCTATATATATATATATATATATATATATATATATATGGTGTCGTATTCGGTGCACCCACTTTTTCGGGTGCACTCAGTGCACCCGCCTCATAATTGTCATTCTGACCATGCGATTCATGTCAAAACGGTATCAATTGTTGCTTATGATATTATGAACAAGAAGCACATGAATTTGAAAAAAATTCATTCAAAGTTTACTTTAATTCGAAGGATTTAGGATTTAGGGATTTAGGGTTAGGGTTTAGGTTTACAATTTGGGATTTTGGGTTGGGATTGAAAATTGAATGTTAAGGTGTTAGGGTAATGAATTTATTTGTTATGATTCTATGTCATATCATCATATTATATTGAGAGTACTAATTAAAGTTCAAAATTTGATGTATTATGGACGCTTTTAGAGTTGGGTGCACTGAGTGCACCCAAAAAAGTGAGTGCACCGAAGTAGCCACCATATATATATATATATATTAGGGATAGCAATGAGTCGGGTTGGGTTTTGCCAAATCCAAACTCAAATCCATGGGTATATCCACACAAAAAAACCCGGGGTAAAATCCATCGGGTTTGGAAAACTCAAACCCAAGCCAACCCGCTGGGTATTCGCGGGGTTCTAGATACCCATGGGTTTAGTGGTAAAAAAATGCACAATAACAACTTCTTGTTAAAATAAAAGTCCAACATCATTCTTCTCATACAAATTATCCAAACAAAAAAACAAATCTAGAGCATACAAGCAAACCACAAAGTATCCATACAAATTGTTCAACATTGAAGATAAACATCCATAAACAACAAGATTAATTGAAAGCTTCTTCCTCCTTGTCAACTAAACTTCTTCCTCCTTGTCAAATAAGCTTCTTCCAACTTCATTCTACACATTTAGAAAGAACAAATTAGACATGTCACTACAAACATAAGAAAGATTAGTTGCTTAAGGAAGATATATTGTTTAGAATATGAAATATATATAGTAACACATGAAGCAAATCTGAATCTTGTTCATCATTAATGATAGCATAAGTCATGAGTCTAGCAATTATTTCCTAGCCATATGCAAATAGAATAACAAGTTAAGTGAGCAAATAATGGTAGCCAAATGGGAATGGCTGAATGGGATATGGGAGGGTAAGTGAGTTGTGGTTGGGGACAGGTTGGATATAGCTAAACTCAACCCAACCCGTAAAACAATAAACATGTTAAACCAAAACCCAGCCCATAATCTGTCAATGTGGATTTTTATCCGCGTTGACCGGGTTGGGTCGGATAAGGTGCCCGTGGATTCGGGTTATGTTTCCATCTCTATGCTGGATGCTAGAGACGCCAGAAAATCGATGGGGAGGGACGAAAGACGTGCAGGTTTTTTAATCCTTTAATAATTAAGAAGTAAAAAAAACCATTCAATTACCATCCTTCATTAAATTAGATAAATTAGAACCATTAGTTT